TTAGTTGTAAAATGGTCACCAGGCAATATTATCGCTTATCGCAATAATTTGTGAGACAATTAATCGCCCAGCAAAATTTGTTATCGTGACAGGCCTAGACGGTACTCAGAAAATTGTTTTATCAACTATGTAAAAACTAAAATCAGATAAAGGYTGTGAAGTCTCAGTCTGTTGCAGTTGAAACCTTTGAGTGAATCTTGAATCTACTTGATCTAATGTGAACACAGAATTGACATCTGACTGGGCGAAACTCGTTACTTCTCTAAGTGTTTTTAAAGAGGCTACAGACTGCCGATCGTGTAGGAGCAGCATGTGMGTGTCAGCTGATGTATTTGCTAAAGGAGGTGGCCTGATGTCCTGATGTTTTCTTTTTCAGCTGTTACGTTTTGTTTCTTCACCAAAGCTCCAAATCAAAACGTATAAACTTAAAGCGCTCACTGTTCAGCGATATTAAAGAAAGAAGTCGTAACTTTTGTACTTCTGGTAAACCTTCCTCCTTAGTAGCTTTAATCCAATGACGTTTTTCTAGAACAAAATATTTTTAGATCAAACTAAAACCTAATGAAAAAGATTTTACACAACTGTAACCATTTGATATCTGAAATGTATTTGGACGCTTATTTTCTGCACACAAAGTTTATCTGAAAGTTGTTTGTCATGAAAGCCCTCTTCACACATGATGATGTCAACTCCTTCTGTGTGAAGGAAATCATGATGCAACGCCACCCACATAGTTTTTACTGCAACCTATCTTGACTGCCATGTGTCTGAAAATATAAAAYGCTGATTATTTTTACATCTCTGCGAGGACATCATCCAGTAAGAAGAGGGTCTTTAGTGTAACATTGTTTGCATCACTTGTGTTACTCTTTACTCATGATGCAGCATCATTTTATTATTTCTTCATCAAATACAACCTTAAACTAAATGTAGTTTTATCCCCTTTTGTTGTTTTTTAAATCCAGTATTAATGTAATTTTGCCAAGTTTGTGACAAGATATTTCATGGATTGTGACAATTTACTAAATCTGTGTCTTTTTAAAATGTAGCAGGTTGAACTTGTTTTAAGCTACAACTTCTTGAGTAACACAAGCTGACATCTTATTGGGAAAAAAAATGCATCATTTTAGTGAGACTGTGGAGAAGACATGTCTTTATATTTTATATTACTGTACATAAACTCTACAGCATGTGTAGACCTCATATATTTCAGTTTATTTGATATGAAAATAATGTTCTTATGGCTTGTTTGAAACCAACTTTGCATATTTGTAATATACTTCAGAAAAATGTGTGTGTTCATGTAAACCTGCAGGCCTACCAGCATCATGGCAGCTAGTGAATAAGAAAGGCCTGTGTTGGACTTTTATTTTGAAGTGTTGTAATCTGTTTAGGTTCAGGGGGTTTTGTAAAAAAAGAGTGAGATGAGTCGGGGTCCGCATTGCATCAAAGAATTTTATTTGGTAAATAGTTTTGATTATGTCCTGAACTTTATATATGTTTTACCTGTGAAGCAGAGGTTTTTGTATCTCTCCAATGAAAGCACAACTTTATTTCCCCATTTGATCCTGAACATTTAACTTATTTGTACTTAAACTACATTTATTTTACTATATTCTTTTTTTTTTACTTTTGCTTCCAGATTTTGTGAAAATTCTCACTTTGTCTAAAAACTAAACTTTTTTAAACACAAGTGTTTGACTTCTTAGAAGAAAATGTTGAATACCAATGACTTTAGTTCAGCACAAAACACAGCAATCATTTGTTATCAGATCTCTTTACCTTCTGAAAATATAGTTTGGTCAACTAAATGTTTTTTATTTCTTAGTTTTTTTTTTTTTCAAATTTAGAATGAAGTCTCAGCCTTTATGAGTGGATTAAAATGATTACGTTGTTACATGACAAAGTGCTGAACCTCAACTGTGTGATATTAACAGTTGTGTTTATTTGTCATCTATATTGAAAATATGCTGAATAGGGCTGCCACGATTAGTTGATTAATCGACGACTAATCGATTATTAAAATAATCGATGACTAATTTAATAATCGATTAATCGTTGATTAATCAACTAATCGTGGCAGCCCTATTCAGCAT